AAAAAAAAAAAAAAAAAAGAGTGCTCTGGCCGTCTAGTGCCCATGCCATTGGTTACTATCCAAGCCTTGCTGCTCATTAAATATTTTTAAAATCTCACATGCCGCTGGGCATAGTGGCTTATGCCTGTAATCCCAGCACTTTGGGAGGCCAAGGTAGGAGTATTATGTGAACCCAGGAGTTTGTGACCAGTCCAGGCAACATAGCAAGACCTCATCTTCCCAGAAAATAAAAAATTAGCTGAGTGTGGTGGTACACGTCTATAGTCCCAGCTACTTGGGTGGCTGAGGTAGAAGGATCATCAGAGTCCAGAAAGTCAAGGCTGTGGTGAGCTGTGGTCGTGCCACTGCACTCCAACCTGGGTGACAGAGTGAGACTCAGACTCAAAAAAAAAAAAAAATGCACTGGAAGACAGGCAAAGGCAATATAAACTTCATCCAGAGCTTGGTTCAAAGATGTCACACTGATCCAGTGTGTCTGAAAGTTTTCAGCATTCCTAGCAGATCAGGGATCAGCCAGCTCCCTTAAGAAGCCAAAACCTGCTCCTCTCTTTTGAGCAATTTCTGTTTTCTTACTTTTGTGGGTGGGTGTATTGGCACATCCTTTATCTAACAGATGCATATTAAGCACCTATTATGTATCTGCGATGGCTGTAAAGATTAAAGTATGTATCTAAAACTGAAAGACAAAGGGGAGGCAGGAAAGGATGCAGGGTTCAAACTGGACCAGGGGTGAGCAAACCACAAACCTGGCCTGCTGCCTATTTTTATGTGGCCCACAAGCTAGAAATGGTTTTTACATTTTCAAATGATTGGGGGGGAAAAAAATTTCATGACACATGAGAATGATATGAAATTCAAGCTTCAGTTCTGTAAATAAAGTTTTATTGGAGCACAGCCAGGCTCATTTGTTTGCCTGTTTTCTATGGCCACTTTTCCACTCTAAGGGCAAAGCTGAGTAATTGTGACAAACCATACAGCCTGCGAAGCCTAAAATACTCCCTGGCCCCTTACAGAAAATTTGCTGACCCCTGAACTAGATCTTCATGGACACAATATTTGGTGGGCATTTCTTGCCTACTATCATGTTCCCTTCCTGGACCTGCCCTTCACAGACCATCCAAGCCTACGCTCACCTCTGGGGATTGGTCCCTGTTATCTTGCTCGACATTAGCCACATGAACACACATCAAATAGCTGACTAGGACCTGGGTTGTTTCAGGAGAAGTCATTCTGACAAAAGATTAACCAAATTTTCTGTTTATTCCAGGAATGGCAGTGGAGGACACAGTTGCAGCCAAACTAGTTTATGATTCCTGGTCATCTGATAAATAAAACAAAGGAAATTTGTGTTGTGATGGATGCTTACGGAATGGTACCACTGGTTGTCTCATGATTTCTAGATCAAATGAGGGAGCCTGGCCCCTAGTGAACTATAGTTTTGTGCTTATCATGTCTTACCTTAAGTTCTGAGATTCCCATTCATGTTTGTAGTTGGAAAGCAAAAGTAGATAACCATTTCTTCTTGTTTGCCAGATTATGGTGGTAGCATTCCTTTCCCTTTGTATTTCCCTGAAATAAAGCATTTTTCAATTCTGCAGTGTTTGCTTCAGTAACTTCTATCCCTCGTGGCAAGGAAAGCGAAAGGGATCAAGCGCTTCTATTCATTCCCTGGGGTAGCTCCAGTGACTGTAATGAAATTTATTTTTAAAATTAAAACATAACTCACATACCTAAGAGTCGCCATTTTAGAGTGCAGTTCAGTGTGTGTTAGTGGTGATGGTTGCACAACTCTGAATATACTAATTCCAGACTTTTTCATTACCCCCAAAAGAAACCTGGTGCCCTTTAGCAGCCATTACCCACTTGCCCGTCTTCCCAGCCCCTAAGAACCACAAATCTGTTTTTTGTCTCTCTGAATTTGCCTCTTCTGGACATTTCTTATAAATAGAATTATACAACATGTTGCCTTTTGTGTCTGGCTTTAAAGAAACAATGAAGTTTCCGTATAGATCAGGACTCCTTTGGTCCCAAGTGGTAGAGACCACAACTCAAACTACCTTAAGCTGAATGAATGAATGGGGAATGGAATTTATCAGCTCTTGTAATTAAGAAGTGCACAGAACTGGTTTCAGCTAACTGGCATCCAGAGGCTCCAAGTCTCATCAGGACCAAGTCTTTTCTCCATCCCTCGGTTCTTTTTTCTTCAGTGTTGGCTCTGCTATCATGTAAGTTCTCCCCTGGAAGTGGCAGGACATTTGCCAGCAGCTCCTGAGTTATATTCTTGAGCAATCCTAACATAGAGATTCTCTTCCTTCAGTTAAATGTCCCAGGACTGAGACTTACCGGGCCATCTAGGTTGTGTGGCCATTTCTGAGTCTGCAGGCTTGGGCCTGTTGTGTTGTCCAGGGAGATCTGACGTTCCGATTATCCAGGCCTGGATTTCATGCCCACCCTTGAAGTCAGGCGTGTAATCAGCCTGTCTGACCTCATGAGCTGATGGAAGGGAAAGGGTCTTTTACCAAAAAGAGGACTGGATCTTTGGAAGGCAAAATCTATAGATGTCCACTGCAATATCAGTGTTGAAAGGACCATTAGAAATTCCCTAGTCCAACCTCAACTTACAGACGAGGAAACAGGTAGATAGATGCTTTCCCCGGGCCCCTGGAATCACTAGCAGAGCTATGTTGCCCACATCCTGTCAAAGGCCCTGTCCAAGTTCTACTCTTACCCACAGACTGGTTGTCAGTTAAGTCAGCAGCAAAACAGCATACTCCTGGCAGGGCCTGCTCGTGCTCCAGGTGGTGAAGTCAAAAGTCTATCCTATTTACCAGGCTGGACAAGGGCATGTATGCTGAAATAAAACACCCACAAGATCTGATTCTGCACATCTCAAGTGACAGTGGAGTCTTTCAGGGAATCTTAATGGTCCCAACCCCAAGGGATGTGTAGAGAGGGGTGCAGGCCAGCGATGGAGCAATGACTAATATATATCCATGCCTGCAAGGAGCTCAGGGGAAAACTGGCATGGAAACAATCGAAGTACAGTACTGTAGTGGGTTTTGATTTTATACTGACCATATATTTTTTCTTTTCTGAGTAACATTGTTGCTGTTCATAAGATAACACCAGAAAGAGCACTACATAGTTAATTCCTCTGCCCCACATACAGCACCCACTACTGTGATTTCCACTTGTCCCTTCCTTGAAAAATGTTTAAATATTCAAGTTGAATATTCCTTTTTTCTGATGTTGCTTCGACTTCTACAAAATGAATTAATACCTCATTTGCCTCTGATTCAAACTTTAAACTTAACTATAATGAATTTACTTTAAACAGTGGTGTCTGTTTTATTATCTCTCTAATCTTGAAATATTTAAATGCTATGTAATCTATCTGGACAAACAACATTTAGATCTTGCACTCGACACAGCCTTCTCTGTGATCTCTTGCTATCTCTTATTATAATTTCACTGTCTTCAGATTAAATATAATGGTGTATGTCACAAAAAGAGAAGGATATGGAATGAGAATATTCATTTCTATATTTCCTCTTTCCACAAGAGCTCCTATCATAATTCTGTGTGGATATACTAAGGGACAATAGAAAAGAAATAGTACTTACCCCTAAAGGACACAGAAGGGAAGACAGATATGTAAAAACAAAAACAAAACAATTACAGTGCAATGCTTTGGTGTTACAGAAATATGGTTCAGGGTCCCAGCAGGAAATAAAGGTGTTCCTTGATTTACAATGGGTTTACATCATAGTAAACTCATCATAACCTGAAGATATTTTCAGTTGAAGGTGCATTTAATTCATCCACCAAACAGCTTAGCCTAGCCTACCTTAAATATACTCATAACACACTAGCCTACAGTGGGGCAAAACCACCAGGCAGCACAGGACACTATGAGGTATTGATTGATTACCCTCATGACTTTGTGGCTGGCTGGGAGCTGTGGCTCACTGCCATTGCCCAGTGTCTGGAGAGAGTATGTTACCAATTTTTGCTGACTGCATACTGCTTTCACACCATAGGAAAACCGAAAAATCTTAAGTCAAGCCGTCATTAAGTCAGGGACCATCTATAAATACCACACTCAAAAGATGTAATTGAAGAGAATTTTGTGAAGAGACTGTGTAGAAAGAAGCACCCTGGATTAGCAATAGTGGGAAGTTGCTACCGCTGCTAAACTTGAAAGAGCAGTTAGTGGAGCCCAGCAAGAACTGGAGCTGTAGCAGAGGGTTATCAGATGGGAAATGTGAGCTTGGATGAAAGAAGACAGCTGCTGCACTGGAAGGAAGAAGCAGGTGGAATAAATGCCCCAATATCTCTTTCTTCCACTCTGGTCTTTGGCTAGAACCTCCCATTGGCCAAACCCAACCAGAAGCCCAAGGATTAGGGAGTCATTGTATGCAATTCACAGAGGTAAACCACCTGGGACACAGAGTAGGGTAGAAAATGGTAGACATTCTGGAGGGGCAAACAGAAGATAGTCTACATAACTAGGAAGAGTACTCAACCCAGACCAGGGACAGAGAGAGAGAGTAAGTCTCCCATGGAAGATGGCTTCACAGAGGAAGGGTCTTCCAGGCAAAGGGATGATGATGGGCAAAGGCACAGACATGAGAGGCATGGCACATTCAGGAAAGCTACAAGAAATCTGTTATGAATGTAATTAGAGGACAGAGTAAGGAATGGTCAGAGGGGAGATCAGAGGCTTGGAGGAGAGAATAGGGCTCTCCAATATGTGATAGTGACAGTCTGAAAAGCAATTTGGAGGTAGAAGGTGACTAGAGGAGATTTGCCTGTTAAAAAGATTGCTCAACCAGCATCGTGGAGAGTGAATTACAGATAAGGATACTCATAACAATGCAGGTGAATAATGATGGGGCATGAACCAAGAGGTCATCCTACAAACAGGAGAGGATTTAGGCTTGAGACATATTAAAAAGTTGAATGGGCCAAGCTCAGTGGCTCAGTCTGTAATTCCAGCACTTTGGGAGGCCGAGACAAGTGGATTGCCTGAGCCCGCAGGTTCAAGACCTGCCCAGGCAACTTGGCAAGACCTCATCTCTACAATAAATCATAAATTAGCCAGGCGTGGTAGCACATGCCTGTAGTTCCAGCTACTTGGAAGGTTGAGTTGGAAGGATCACCAGAGCCCAGTCAGTCAAGGCTGCAGTGGTCGGGAGTGTGCCACTGCACTCCAGCCTGGGCAAAGGAGTGAGACTCCAACTCAAAAAAAAAAAAAAAAAAAGTTGAATGGCGGTCAGACACAATGGCTTGTGCCTGTAATCCAAGGCAGGGGATGGCCTGAGGCCAGGAGTTCGAGATTAGCCTCAACAACAGAATGAGACCCCGTTGCAACAAAAATAATAATAAATAAGTTAGATGGGTGTGGTGGTATGTACCTGTAGTTCCAGCTACTCAAAAGGCTGAGGTGGAAGGCGCCTCTGTGCCTAGAGTTTCAAGACTGCAATAAGCTATGATTGTACCACTGCACTCTAGAATAGGCAACAGAATAAGACTCCATTTCAGAAAAAGGGGGTTGGGACTTGGTGACCAACTAAGTGATGAAAGGAAAGGAAAAGGACAAGTGTCGGGTTAAACTTTCCATTTATGGAAATAGATGTTTAATTTTTTTTTTTTAAGAGTCAGAGTCTCACTATGTTGCCTAAGCTGGACTTGAACTCCTGGTAGGGCTCAAGGTATCCTGCCACCTCAGCCTCCTGAGTAACTGGAACTACAGGCATGAACCACTTTACCCGGTGAAAAATGGAGATTTAGAACTAGGTGTTTCAACCTCAACGCTATTGATATTTGGATCTGGATAATTCATTGTCGTGGGCGACTGCCCTATACATTGCAGGATGCTTAACATCCACTATTTCTACCCACTCTGCGTCAGTAGCACCAATACACCCATCTCATGGCAATCAAAAATGTCTCCAGACATTGCCAGATGTCTTCTGAGAGATAAGAGACAAAATTATCCAGGTTAAAAAGTGTCGACTTAGGAGAAATTGGGTTCTGTTCTGGACACACTGAGTTTGGGGGACTCGAGAGACATTTGAGGGGAGATGTCAGATAAAACTTGGGCTTATGGATTTGGTGCCAAAGCAATTGTCTGGGCTGCTAACTCAGATTTAGGAATTATGAGCATTTAACTGACCTGTACTATACAACACCCTAAAATATAAGCACAGCACACATTTACCACACCATAACTTCTCAAACCCCTCTCTTCAGTGAAATGCTCCCAGCTGCTTTTCTTTCTTGTTGTCTTTTATGTCACACTACATGGCAGGGGTGGGGGAAAGGCAGGTCCAGGAGGAGGAGGCAGGGGATCAGACATCATTGGATTGAACTATTCTAGTCCAATCTAGTTTAAGGAATGGAGTTCTGAGATCAGTGAGTACTTGAAACTCATCCTGGCTCATAATCCTCTTGTTTTTGTCTCTTATCAAGGCCTTTATTTTGCTCTAACATCTCTTAGGCCCCTTTGGTTGGGGTTTAATTGGAAAGATCCAGAATTCTTATGACATTTATAACCTTTTATAACATAGTGTAAGCCCTTTTTTTAGTTTTTGTTGTTGTTGTTGTTGTTTTGAATTGGAGTCTCACTCTGTCGCCCAGGCTTGAGTGCAATGGCACACTCACAGCCACCGCAGCCTCCACCTGCTGGGTTCAGGTGAACCTTCCGCCTCAGCCTTCCAAGTGGCTGGAACTACAGGCACAGGCACTTGCTACCATACCCGACTAATTTTTGGATTTATTGTAGAGGTGAAGTCTCGCCAAGTTGCCCAGATTGGTCTCGAACTACTGGGTTCAGGCAATCCTCTTGCCTCAGCCTCCCAAAGTGCTGGGATTACAGGTTTGAGCCACCGAACCTGGCATAAGCCCTTTTTAAAACATAATGCTGCATGATGGAAAGGCTATATCCTTGATGCTAAGGTCCTGTGAGAATCCTCACCTATTAATTCTATAAATCAAAAGAGGTAAGAACATCCAAGAAGATCATAAAGATGCCTGGTGAGACCCTCCAACCACAAACATCTCCCAAAAAGAGGTGGGAGTAACAAGTTCAAGTTCATTTTTGTCAACCTGACTGATGAATCTCACATTATTATGTAGATGGGGCAGGAAGTGGGACACATGTCTCATTAGGCAGACTCTGGACAACATGTAAAAAGAGGATCGTGGCATCCACAATAATGAAATACAATAGAAGCAGGCTCAGATGACAAACTTTTTTTGAGTGCCTTCTATATGCCAACTGCTTCTGTGCACATTAATAAAGGCAAGCACAACTTCGGCTTTTTTCCCGAACAACAAGATACAGTATTTGTAAACATAATCATCCCCTAATGCAGCATATTTATTCAATGACTAACGAGCTTTCTGAATCAATCCACTGAGGAAGAATGAGCCAATTGTTCATCAGATTTGAGCATCTGTGTCCTCCCTAAACTTATATCCTCCGTGATGCCTCCTGAAGTAATCCAAACAGATGTAGATCCGATGTGAATGAGATTACACATAATCAACAGTAAATTCTGCTTGTGTAAGTCTGACTATGACAATCTATTGAAGCTTAGCTATTGAGTAGGTTTCGATTTGAATTTGAGATTGTCACTCAAAACATGCTAGCAGCAGTGTTGCCAATTCATACTGTGGAACCTACATGTATTCAGACGTGCAACAATGTTGGTAGACAACAGTAAATAAAAGATACATAATGAGCATAAAAATGTACAATTTATTTTTATAATCAAGTATTCTCTCCAAATAACCTCGTTGTTTTTCATTTCTTAAAGCTTCAGTAGGCGTTTGCCCTTGAAAAAAAAATCATCAGTAGGCCAGACTTTTTCTTCTGTATCTTTTCTCTCTTCCCCCACCTTCTTGCTTAGTACTATATTATTCTGCTAGGACTGTCTTAACAAAACGCCACAGACTGGGTGGCTTAAACAACGGAAAATTTATTTTTCCATAGCTCTCGAGGCTGAAAGTTCAAGATCAAGATGTTGGCAGACTTGGTTTCTCCTGAGGCCTCTCTCCATGGCTTGCAGGCAGTACTTCTTACTGTGTCCTCACATGACCTTTCCTCTGTGCACATTTATTCCTGGCATCTCTTTCTCTTCTTATAAGGACGCCAGTCATATGGGATTAAAGCCTCATCCCTGATGCAGGGAATCATATCACTGCATTAAACCTCAGTCACCCCTTTAAAGGCCCTATCTCCAAATACAGTTGCATTGGGAATTAGGGCTCCAACATAATTGGGGTAGAGAGGAGACACAATTCAGTCCATAAAAGGTGCCTTATATTTCATTTCTTTCTTTACTCTCCTAGCCTGCCATTCTGTCTCTATTTTCAGGCAGCAGTGTTATGGACCCATTTCCAATACTTGTAAACATATAAATATCTTTTAAAGGGCTAGATGCATTTAAATTAGATATCAAACCTCTGGCCAATGAGGAACTTGAGTCTCCACCAACTGGCAAAGTCATAGAGGTAAGGACCAAACTGGAGTTCGAATCTCCAGGCTATGTGAATTAACAGTAGGCTAGTGTGATGAGACATTATAACTTTAACTCCAGTGTTAGAAAAGAAAATAAAGTTTCTTCCCCTTCCCTGTCATCCATCTGACTCTTTCTTTACTCAAAAATATCAGAAAGATGGACAGGGCATGATAACTGTAATCCCAGCAATCTGGGAAGCTGAAGAGGGAGGATTAGTTGAGGCCAGGAGTTTGAAACCAGCCTGGGCAATATAGCAAGGCCCTTTCTACAAAAAATAAAAGAATTATCTAGGCATGGTGATGTGCACCTGTAGTCCTAAGCTATTGAGCAGGCTGAGGTGGGAGAATCGCCTGAGCCCAGGAGTTTGAGGCTGCAGTGTGCTATGATCACATCACTGCACTTTAGCCTGGATAACAAAGTGTCTCTAAAAACACTATATATACATATCACCATATATAGTGATAGTTATATATCACTATATGGTGTTTCTCTTTAACTATCACTATATATGATAGTTAAAGAGAAACACCATTTTCTTATTCCAAAGTTTCCTAGAATTCTCACTGGTAGTTTATTTGGATGGGCATATCCTATTTTCCAGAGTAGAGTTTGAACCTCTTTTTCAGGTAGGTATCTTCAAAACCGTAGAAACCATTCCTGGTGCTCCAGCCTTGGACAGAGAGGGGACATTGCCTGGAGTACTGCCAGTGGGTCACAACATCACTTCAATGCCGCAGGTTCACCCTATTGACCCAGCAATCTCCATCAGAGGCTGGTGTCAACCAGCTGTCCAGGGTGTTGTAGCACTTGCTTCCTTCTGTTGATGGCATTAAGAACTTTCTTTCTGGGACCCAGCTGCATTTGTATGCTCTGAAGGTCCTCATCAGAGCAGAGCAACAGAGCTTCAAGATCAATCTGCTCTCTCATGAAAATGGGAAGGAACTCTTCCAGGTGCTGTGACTGCAAGAACACTTCCAGAGGAGTAGCATCAACCACATCTTCCTCCCACTCCACTTCGTCCTCATCCCAAGACAGATCTTCAAGGCTCTTTTCCTCTCTGTCTTCACTAGCCTCAGCTGCTCCTTGTCTTTGAAATAATTCACTAGGCATTTTAAATCCTAGCTCCCTTTTGCTGTCTGAGATGTCTTCAAGACTTGATACTCTGTTCCCTCTGAAAACAACACTTCCTAGACCTGGGCGCTTGAGAATGGACTCATGCTGCACACCGCTGTTCTCCTCTGCTGGAAACTGGAGGTTCTCTTTGAAGTCCTCTGAGAATGAGTCTTCCTCCTCCTCTCTGAACACGTCCATCACATTTCTTTGCCCACTTCTGCCTTCCTTCCTCACCTGCTCTGCTGTATCTTTGTTTTTCTTGAACTTTAACTTGAAAGTGTCCTTAATCCCCTTTGACAGTGACCCAAATGTGCTGGAAGCAGAAGCATTTGAAAAGGATGACCCGGAGAAGGTGCCCTTGGAAGAAGAAAGAGTCCCAGATTCCTCCTTGCTGTAGGTGCGGGCCATCTTGTTTTGATGCTTCTCCTGGAGCCTCTCACACTCTTTGATCTGCCTCCTGGCATTCTTCTGAGACTGCTCCTTCAACCTGATGACCTTCTTGGGGTTCATGATGTTCTGGGCACTGGCAGCCTTATCCAGGAGAGCAACGCATTCACTCTGCTCCCTGCTGGCAGCAGCATCCAGTGGAGACTGTAAGTCATTATCCAGGGCAAAGATGTTGGCACCAAAGTTGATCAGGAATGTGACACAGTGGGCATGGCCATTGGAGGCTGCATAATGCAGAGGAGTATTTCCCCAGATGTCACATCTATCAGGGTCACCTCTAGAAGAGAAAATATAAAAAATACATGTTGAACTTTTTTTCTCTGAACACGAGGTCAAAAACATAAAAACAAAAATAAGGAACAAAATGCACATTAAGGCATTAAGCATCTGCCTTGACATTGTTATACTATCGGCTAAGTCCAGATATGTCACATCTAGACTCCACATGGCCCAAAACAGAAAGAGTTTATCTCTACTGTGTCTCCTTTTTAGAACCAAGAAACATTTTCTAAAAAACTCTCCAACAGAGCAACTTTTTATGTCTCATTGACCAGAATTGAGTCACACATCTAAGGGAAGGAAAATATAGCACCATGTTTAACTTAGATCAATTAGATTTTTCTCCTGTATCTAGGGATTGGATTATCCAATGGTGTGCTGGTAATCATGTTTAACAAATGACTCATCCAGGAAAAAAAAAAATCGAAGTCCTAACTTACAGTGTGCACCAATTTATAGTGTAAATACATTCACCATGGTAAATTTTAAGCTACCAATGTGACATCACTAGACATAGAGCTTGGAAGAGTATCCAGCAGCATACAATTATACTTTTTTTTTAAAGATTTTTGACACCACTAATTATAGGCATACATACAATTATAAATCATTGTCACCATTCAGATATAATAGACATTTATAATCTTAAAATCTCCTGTAATTCCGCGCTTTGGGAGGCTGAGGTGAGTGGACTGCCTGAGCCCGTGGGTTCGAGATCTGCCTGGGCAACTTGGCGAGAC